ACCCTCATTGGGATCTCTGCTGTTAGCACGAAGCCTGCTTCAGATCCTCTGTCTCCCTCTCCCCCTCCTCTGCTTGTTCTCTCTCTCAAAATAAATAAATAAACTTAAAAAAAAAACCTGGGAGCAATGACACTCCAAAAACAATGAGTTCATCTGGCTCCTAGATCTGGTTTCAAAATACCATTCTCCACTGAAGAACCCAGAGAACTCTCAGAAGAAATGGCAGATTAAGGGGAAAGGAAAGTACAATATGAGCTTTGCACATGTTGTGCCAGAAATAATGATGGGTGTGTCAGAAGGACACAGAAGACACCCTGAAGTGGTTCTCATGGACTAAGTCTGAAACAAATAGCCCATTGAATGAAATAGCAATTCATCAGTCTACACGGGTATAAATAAATGAGTGAGTAACTGGAAAATTTGATGATAAACATGCTATTTACATAGTCTCAAATACCTCTTCCCCAAAGTCTTGTTAGTTACAAAGGGAAAAAGAATGCCTTTATGATGGAGGTGGCTGCCACCACTGTAATCAAGTGCTCAAAGGTATCAGTAGCCAACCTGCGCCCGCACAAGCTGAATAGGATGTGCCACCTGATAGGAGGTAGTGAAAAGAACACATATCACTTTGGGGCGTTTGGGTGGCTCTGTCAGTTAAGTGCCCAACTTCAGCCCAGATCATCATCTCCTGATTCGTGGGTTTGAGCCCCGCGTCTAGCTCTGTGCTGACAGCTCAGAGCCTGGAGGCTGCTTTGGATTCTGCCTCTCCCTCCTTCTGTACCCCTTGCCTGCTCACACTCTGTTTCTCTCTCTCAAAAATAAATAAACATTTAAAAAAATTTAAAAAACCCACATGTCACTTCTGTGATATTCTTGCCAAAGATGTATAAATTGAATCTAACATAAGGAAACAGATGTATTGAGGGACATTCTACAAAGTAATACCTGTAATCTCAAAAGTATCAATGTTACAGAAAACAAGGAAAGACTGTGGAACATTTCGAGCTTGAAGGATATTAGGAGACAAGATAACTAAATGCAGTGGTGATTCTGGACTGGATCCCTTCCTGTAAAGGGCGTTATTGGGACAATGTGTGAAACTTGAAGGGTATGTGAGAATCACAGAACAGTAACATAAGGTTGTTAATTTCCTGACTTTGAAGGCTCTCTAGTGGCTATGTAGAAGAATGTCCTCGTTTGCAGGAAACACAGATAAAATATTCTGTGATGATGGGACATCACATTGGCAACTTACTTTCAAAAGATTCTGAAAAAAACAAGGTTCTTAAACTATAATTGCAACTTTTATGTAAATTGGAGATTGTTTCAAAAGAAAAAGAAAGAGGTTAAAATGAAAAAAAAGTAAAAGATTATCTGTGCTCAAGTGAACAAAACAAAAAAGTCTTGTCCTCCTTTAATACTTTTTCAACATCCTGAACCCACTCAGGTTTTACAGAAATCCTGCTCTTAGGAAAGTGCATGGGAAGGAGAAAAGTGTGGAAATACCGCCACCTACTGGCCCTAGAGCAAATATATTTAAGGGGATGGGGGGCAGGGTTGGGGCAGAGCAGAGGCCATCCTGAGGTACCCTGTGCACTGGGAAGAGTAGAGCTTTTTACTCAGATTAACTTTTTTTTTTAAAATAGTTTGTCAAGTTGGTTTCCATATAACACCCAGTGCTCATCCCCACAAGTGCCCTCCTCCATGCCCGTCACCCCCCTTCCCCTTCCCCCCACCCATCAGCCCTCAGTTTGTTCTCAGCATTCAAGAGTCTCTCATGGTTTGCCTCCCTCCCTCTATCCCTCCTATTTCCCCCTTTCTTCTCCCCCACAGTTAACTTTTAAAAGCTATCAGAGAGCTCTTGAATGCTGAGAACAAACTGACAATAAACTATTTGTAAAAAATAAAAATAGCAAATAAAAAAGTAAATAAATTAAAGCTGTCAGAAAGCAAAGTAAACAGGTCTTTGCACCTGAGGTCTGCCCAAGAATTCAATCTGACCCTCGGAGCTGGTGGCAGATGGCTCTTTGTGTGTCAGATGAGCCCAGGGAATACTCTAGAATGAGTTTAAGAGGAAGGGATACATTCATGGGGTACAATAAAGACGCAAAACGTCTCCATTCCTCAGAAGCCTTGGAGAAGCTGAATCCTTTGGGGAAAAGAAGAAATAAGAGAACTGGCCCGGGATAAGGTTCCTGGCCACGACCCTGGGAGAGAGACAGCTAACAAGATCTAAACTGGCTCAGAGGGGCAGCTTTATGGGAATTGAGCAATGCAGCTTCCAGGACAGGGGAAGGCTGCATCTCAGCCCACACCCAACCTCCTCGCCTGACATCCAGCTTACCAATCATTATGCAGGGGCCCCAGCTACATTCTCCCTATGGTAGGGTGAACATTGAACCATCTAAAAGTCATTTGTTAATCTTTTGAGATTCCATTTCTACAAAACTAAACAGGGCTCACTACGTGATGTAGCAATTGCTCTCCTTGGTGTTTACCCAAATGAGCTGAAAGCCTATATTCACACAAAAACCTGTACAAAGATGTCTCTTAGGAGCTTTATCCATGGCTGCCAAAACTTACAGGCGACCCAGATAAATTGTGGTACAGCCACATAACGGAATGTGATTCAGCACTTAAAAAGAGATGATCTCTTAAGATAAAAAAAAAGATGTGGAGGACCCTATGACCCAGTAATTGCACTACAAGGTATTTATCCAAGGGATACAGTTGTGCTGTTTCAAAGGGGCACATGCACCCCAATGTTTATAGCAGCGTTATCTACAATAGCCAAAGTACGGAAAGAGCCCAAATGTCCATCGGTGGAGGGGGTGTGGGAGGGGGATGGGCTAAACGGGTAAGGGGCATTAAGGAATCTGCTTTTGAAATCATTGTTGCATTATATGCTAACTTGAAAGTAAATTTTAAAAAGATGTGGAGGAACCTTAAATGCATCTTAATAAATATAAGAAGCCAATCAGAAAAGGCTACATTCTGTATCACGCCAAGTAAATATTCTAGAAAAGGCAAAACCATGGAGAGGGTTAAAAAAGCAACTCAGTGGTTGCCAGGTTTGTGGGGACTCAGAGGACTTTCAGGACAGTGAATATATTTTGTATGATACTTTATGGGGCACCTGGGCGGTTGGGCGTCCGACTTCATCTCAGGTCATGATCTCACGGTTCATGGGTTCAAGTCCCACATCGGGCTCTGTGCTGACAGCTCAGAGCCTGGAGCTGCTTCAGATTCTGTGCCTCCCTTTCCACTCTGACCCTCCCCCAGTTGCACTCTCTCTTTCAAAATTAAACAAACATTGTATGGAGGAGGACACTTGTGGGGATGAGCACTGGGTGTTATGTGGAAACTAATTTGACAATAAACTATTTGTAAAAAAAAAAAAAAATTAAACATTAAAAAAATTATTTTGCGTGATACTCTAATGGTAGATGCCATGTCATTGTATATTTATTAAAACTCATAGAATATGCAACACTGAGAACGAACGCTAATACAAACTGAGGTCTTCGGTGATTATGATTTGTCCATATCAGTTCACTGAATATAGCAAGTGTACCTCTCTGGTGACGAATGTTGACGGTGGGGAGGCAGGAGGAGTCTCGGGGTGGGGGAGGGTAAATGGGAAATCTCCATATTGTCTGTTTAGTTTTGCTGTTAATCTAAAACTGCTCTAAAACACAAAGTCTTATTTTTTAAATTCTATTTCACCAATAACCATGACAACTGAATATAGCCAAATGGTCAGTACACAGATAAATCCTTCAAATGCTGGAGTTGGCACCTAAGATGCTTCAGAGGACAGGACCTGAAGCAGGCAGGCTGACCAGTATCACACAGGTGCTGAGTCCAAGCACCAGGACTGGGACCCAGGCCTGCCGGGGCCTGATTCTCTGTTCTCCTTGGGCCGCGGGTGAAGGCAAGTGGCGGGGAGACAAGCACGCACAAGGCCTTCATGGTCACAGCAGCTCTGCCTTCAAACCTCCTCATGGGTTTTGATAGGTAACTTGGGGAGCTGAACTGAGTCTTGCAAATACATGTATTTATGAGGACTGTATTATACCACACCATTTAAAAAAGATATTTGAATACGGGCCTAGAACTGTGTGCTCAGTAACAAAGACACGAACAAGAACCTTCCGTCCCAGGCCTTCCTAGAGCTCATGTTGCAGTGGGGGCCGAGACAAACCCGGAATTACTGCTGTTAAGGTGAGCACTGAGCGCGACAATGGGACTCGAAACCACACATTCTCTTTCCCTTTCACAGTCTGAGATGTCTTATTCTTTTTAACATTCCAGAAGAATCTGGAGAATTGCACCCATTACTATTAACAAGCACACAGAAGAGCGGGGACTTTACCCAACACGGGTGCACCTCACTTACCTTTCCAAGATTATCATTCGAACAGTCCAGGGAAGATGCGTGAGGTAAGCTCATACTTCCCAATGCCAGAGTGGATAAAAGATCACCAGCCCAGAATTCATGGAAAAATGGAAGTAAACAGTCTATTATCACAAGATGTGCTGTATGTAGTTAAGGCAATATTCTACATCTGGTTAGTGCTCAAAGATGTTACAACTTTATAATTTAGTATAGAAAACACTATGCTATTGGGGCGCCTGGTTGAGCATCTGACTCTTGATTTTGGCTCAGGTCATGATTCCAGGGTCATGGGATCGAACTCCATGTCAAGCTCCACACTGAGCCCGGAGCCTGCTTAACATTTTCTCTTTCTTCCCCCTTCTGTCCCTCTCCACCACTCGTGCTCTAAAATAAATGAAATAAAAATAAAATACTATGCTATTATATTATTAGGTGTTACTACAGATATGCTTGGAGAGATTTCATATGCCTTCTGAATTTTAAGAGTAAAATTTCAACTACCTATCAGTAGTTGGTATCCCTTACCCACAGAAAAGCATTAAAAATAACAAAGCATCACAGGATTATTAATGTTTTGACACACACGCATAATGCAGATGTCTTCTGATGGTTGGTAGATTCTTTTATTAACAATCAAAAAGCTTCACACTTACAATAGGAAAATAAGTGTTTCTCTATTGATTAATTAAATGAAAACTATCCAGGATGTTACAGGATTTTTAATGTGAGCCAGGCCTGATGCGTACCTAAGAAGACAGGACATTAGCTTGTCGAAAGCATTATGTATGACTGAAAATGAGAAACAGTAATTTACAAAACATTTACCTAACAGTAAATTTCCCAAACAGTAGCTCCCCTGAAATCAAACCAGGAAATAAAAATTTGTATTTAGACCTAGTTTTAGAGAGGACACTCACAATACCCATCAATCTTAATTTTATGGTTTTGGTGGTACTTTTTTAAAGGTATTCACCGGAAACTCAAATCACATTTTAAGATCACGAATTTGAGGTGTGCAATAAAACTGTTACACAACAGTTCAAGCAGCAGATCCTACCTCGGGCGATATTCGCCTTGTGTCCTGCTTTCCTCCAGCACTAATCACTATGGGGTCTGACGCACATTTAAGACCAGAGTAGGCACTGCTGATTCGGCCACAAAAATCCCTCCTGGATGAACACCACTTGGTTTATTTCAGAAGCAGCTGCTTTCCTTTTTAATTTATTTTCTACTATGAAAAACAGGGCTAAACAAAATCTTAAGTCTCATTTTCCACTGGATGACTAAAATCTTTATCTGTAATTTATCTTCATCTCTTAAAATCTATCTGATGGGGAGGAGAAACGAAAACCTTAGGGAAGAACAGTGGGCCTTCCCTTGTTCCCTCAACGTAAAACCAAAGCAAAAATAGAGCCCCATAGAAATTTCAACATTGAACTTTTTTGAAATCTTAAGGCTTAATAAAAGTCAAAAAGCACTGTATGAATCAGTAATCTCTGCATATCTTTGTTAGTTCAATATAAACCATGATCTGACAGACTACCTGTGTTTGAAAGCCCATCTTTCAAAAAGGTTCTGTTTTTCTAGATGGTCCATTTAAACAGAGTTCACTGCCTTGTTTATATATACGTGTGTGCATAATACATGTATATGTATCTATGCAGGTATGCGTGTGTATAATGTATACACGTAAGCAGTAATCACATGACTCCCATCTGTGCTCTATGAAAGTCACTGTGCTGTGGTATAGAAAGGGTGGCAATCCTAGTCTTCAAAGTGTTTTCAATCCACAAACACACACAGAGCTATCACTGGTCTCATCGACACTGTTGACAATTCAGAAAGCCTAAGTACTTTCTACTTGAATTCTAAAAGAAAAGTGCCTTAAATTTTTTTTTTAAACTTCAGTCTTCAATATTGAAACTGCTAAGTTACTCCATTTTTCTGTGCCAAAAAAAAAAATAATAATAATAGAATAAATTTGGGGGAAGAAATAATCAACTTAGGAAAACATTCTATTACTGAATAGGCTTAAGAAAAAAAACCTACATAGAAAAAATATTCCAATAGAAGGCAAAACCTATGTGGGTTGCTCTCTACATTATTTGAGTAAGTAACAATTAGAAATCAATGAAAAATTCAGTATCAGAAATGTAAAATAAATTAGGAAGCATCCAATTGATAAATTATACAGCCGGTAAAAATAAAGAGAAAAATGAAACATGGAATGGGTGACAATGTTAAGCCCAATTACAGAAAGGATCCCTGCTACATTTAAACAGTCCCATCTGCAAAACCTACACAGGACTCATTTGACGTGCTGGGTCACTGGATTATGGGTTTCATCTGCCTTTACTCAAAGGACTAAACAATGTAAAGTTTCTACAGTGACTGCACATGTTTTAAAAGAAAAGATCAAAAATAATAGAATAACTCAAAAACAAGTCTTTGAAAAGAAATGTTCCTAGATGGGGACATGCCACTGACCACATCCAGAAACCAACCCCTTCGCCTCTCTGGGAAGGCAGCACCTGATTCAGGCTGGCTCCCCCCGAGGGATGATGCTCATAAGCAGGACTGGAAGTGGGGGGGACAAGTGCCCAGCCAGAATGATCTGTGGCCCCATTCCCAACATCCATGCTATCAACAAGGCCCGAATGTACATAACACAGATTTGTTTGATGACAAAGTTTACACAAAAGTCTATTTCTCCCAACAGAAAAATTCAAACGCACGACTATTTCCTTTCCATAATAAAGCAATTCTCAGTTAGCAATCAAGTTACATATTTTTTAAAGACAAAATGGTGTTAACCCTGTGTAACATGTGACCGAAGATTAATAAAGGCCAATGGGTGATAGCTACCAGAAGTACTAGTAGGCAGATTACTTACAAAAAGAGCAGTTTTCAATAGAAAAACTGAGCATTTCCCTTGGGAAATAAATTTAACCTTTTATAGTTAAACAACTGGGGCAAAGGACCAGGTTTTCTACCACTGCCACACAAGAGGCCCTAAGAAGACAGGGCTGAGATATTCGTGATGGTTTCATGATGACAACTCTAACCTCCTAGCTATTTCAGCTCTTGAAGAAAGTGTTCAATCAAGACTAAATCATACAAAGCAATTATTATTTTCAGTTGCCCAATAATAAAATTTGAAAACAAGAGATTCATAGCATTAAGTCATGTTTATCAAATACTTGAACAAGCTACATTAAGAAATGCTATCACAGAGCAGCTTATTAGTATACTATGGTACTCTGCACTTCTACAAAAAATAGTCGTAAAAAGCTTATTCTGCTCAGTATAATGATAATGTTTTACTTTTTGCAAGCCATGTATCTCTCAGTTACGTTCTCCCAGTTGATTACATTCCAAATAGCTTTTAGATAATCCGGTCTGACATTTTTATACTGAAGGTAATAAGCATGCTCCCACACATCAATCCCCAGCAATGGAATAAGACCTATTGGAAAGAAGAGGGGGAAAAAAAGCAAAAACTGTGAATTTCAGCCTGAAATATTATTGCATCTTCTCGATGATCCTATACCCTTTACAAAATTCCCATCCATTTTTCAGTTTTTACAAAGAATAAACACCCTATAAAAAATATTAAGCTTTAAACTGAAAAAATTCTTTTAATGTTTATTTTTGAGAGGGAGGGAGGGGTAGTGGCAGACAGAAAGGGATGCAAAGTGGGCCCTGTACTGACAGCAGCGAGCCCCACGTGGGTCTTGAACTCACGAACTGTGAGATCATGACCTGAGCTGAAGTCGGATGCTTATTAGTCCACTGAGCCACCCAGGCGCCCCTAAACTTCACTCTTTGGAAGAAAATGTGATAAATAGCAAAAAAATTGTTTAAAGACTTGGGAAAAGTAAGTACAGTATTTTAACAGCTATGCTTAAAATACCAACAAATCTATCCGTGAGCCAATTCTTGGGGGTATCAGTAAGGACACCGTGTTTGTGGGGGTGGTTGAGCACCTTCCAAAGGTCCCAAGCAGTCAGGGGAGTTTTATGAGAACCATTCTGCTCCCAGGCTAACAATGTTAGTCTTAGAGAATACAAAGCATTTATGAGACACTTAGAATGGGAAACCTGAATAGGACTAAAGCAAAAGACACACTGTTTTCAGAAATTAAATAGTGTATGCAAAGAATTACTTGTACTTATACAACATTCATTTTCAAAAACTCTCCAACTGAATGACCGCTCTCCTCAAGGAAAACAATGATCAACCAGTAGGTCTTGATCAGTGGTGAGGTAGGTCACTCATCATTTATTATGAGTAAGGTGACAAAGTTTATAAATGATTACTCCCCTACATGAATTGCCATGACCTCCACTTATTTTCATTCAGAGGGCTTTCTTCAACTGGAAGGGGAGCAGGTGTAGCCAGGATTTACCTAGAAATCACAGCCTTTTCTGCCAGGAGCCTTCAAAGATAGACCCAACTCTCTAGAGCAGTCGGTGCTCACAAGTCTTGTGTTGGTTTGACAAATTCTGTGACATCTCTTTCCCAAAAGAGCCATTCAGATTCTGGCTAAATCTGAATATACCCAGTGAAGTGAGTCAAGTAAGCAAGTCTGCAGACGTGTGTAGAGGTAGTAAACGTAGGGGCACCTGGGTGGCTCAGTTAAGCGTCCGACTTCGGCTCAGGTCATGATCTCACGGTTCATGGGTTCGAGCCCCCACGTCGGGCTCTGTGCTGACAGCTCAAAGCCTGGAGCCTGTTTCAGATTCTGTGTCTCCCTCTCTATCTGACCCTCCCCTGCTCATGCTGTCTCACTCTCTCTCTCTCAGAAATAAATAAAATATTAAAAAACAGAAGAAGAAGTAAAGAAAATGTAGCTGAAGGGCTCCTGGGTGCTTCAGGTAGTTAAGTGTCAGACTCTTGGTTTTAGCTCAGGTCATGATCTCATGGTCATGAGATGGGAGCCCAGCATCGGGCTCTGTGCTAGGTCTGGAGCCTGCTTGGGAGCCTCCCTCTCTCTCTGTCCCTCCCTCTCTTTCTCTATCAAAATAAATAAACCTAAATAAATAAATATCTTTTAAAAAATATAAAGAAACATGGCTGAGAACTACCACTGGTTGATGTTAAAATCACTGTAGGTCCTGGGGCGCTTGGGGGGGCTCAGTCGGTTAAGCCTCCAACTTCAGCTCAGGTCATGATCTCATGGTTCATGGGTTCAAGCCCCACATCGGGCTCTGTGCTGACAGCTCAGAGCCTGGAGCCTACTTTGTATTTTGTGTCTCCCTCTCTCTCTCTGCCCTTCCCCTGCTCACACACTCTCTCTCTCTCTCTCTCTCTCTCAAAAATATACAAACATTTAAAAAAATTAGAAAAAAAAAAAGAAAAAGACACTACTGTAGTTTCATTACATCTGAAGATCAATGTCTTAGGGCTATCTCCCAAAGACATTCTAATTCAATCTGGCTCAACATGAAAAAGGAATGGGTGAACCCAGCCTGGAGCTTCTAAGCCAAATATTGTCCTGTACCAAATCCCCCAAAAGGGAGAAGTCTGGACACCTGAGCTCTAGTCCCAGACTTTTGTTTGACCACGGATGCCCAGATGGGCTGAGCCCCAGGTCTGAAGTCATACTCAGCTTACAGGTCTTTTCCTCCTTTGTGGTGTCTATCTAATTTCAGTGCCTGCAATTATGCAAGCTGACATGAATTCTGTCCAATGAAGCCGAGTTTATGTTGAAAACATTTTTTGTTAATGTATCTGTAAAATTACATGTGCTAATGTGACAAAACAGCAGGACTTTTAGAGCCTCTCTGCTTACCCAAAGCTCTGGGTCTCATCTGTTAAGATGTACTCTACTTAGTACATGCTCACGGTAGGTTTAACCACTGCTCGTGTTCCTATTTCAAGGTAAATGCTTTACAGTGAACCATCTCCCACTAACGAATATGAAATAATTTTAAAAGCCAACCTGTTGTTCCTTCTAGGGGATCCTGGTTAAAACAAGCAGCAATCTGCAAGCGTCCCTGTTCCTTATTGAAACCAAGCCAACCCCAACCTGAGCCTTGAACGCCAACGGACACAGTGGTCAACTTCTCCTTAAATTTGTCGAAGGAACCAAAATCACGTTTGATGGCTTCCAGCAATTCCCCTATTTAAAACAAAAAATCCAAAAATACCCACGAATGAACAGCCTGCAACAAGTACAATAAAAAATTCTATTACATATATCAAAACATTCTTGTCGTGTAGCACCAGGTACAACAGGACAAGCTCACAGGGAAGACGTAGCATAACCCGGTGAGCGTAGTTCGCGCTTACCCGTACCCTGCCACTAGCATCATAAGATCTCACAACTGCAATTCGTGTGTTTGTTACCGAACCATGTCAGAGCAAGTTCTTCCTTCGCTGTGCTATTTCCATCAGAAAAGGAGTCATTTTTTTCATTCGCTTTTTTTTCCCCCTTCCACAGAAAACTTTACTTTGACTTCTACCCTACCTACTCTGTCTCGGTTTGGGAATCATGACATTTTATGGCTGTTAATTTGGTTCTTCCCCACAGCAGCCTAGGTCTTTCCTATCACGATTATATAATTTTAAGAAGAGTAATTTAGTCTTTTATTACTGAACTCAGGGTACACTGTAAGAGCTACAGCCCTTTCATTCTGTGGCAACGCAGAATATAATTCTAGATGGAGAACATCAACTAAATCAAGTAGGCTAAAAATATCACTTCTCTTCTTCCACTGATTTAAAAGTAATTATCAGCATTCCCTGGGTGGCTCAGTCATTTAAGTGTCTGACTCTTGATCTCGGCTCAGGTCTTGATCTCAGGATCGTGAGTTCAAGCCCCACATTGGAGCCTACTTAAAAAATTTTTTAAAAATAAAAAATAATCTATTATAAGCACAAATGACAGAATAAAGTGGTACAGACCACCCAAAGTGGTGGTCCAAGAGTACCAAGACCCACTGGGGGAGTATGGGCATATCTGACATGCCGCTAACTCACCACACGTCAACAGTATTACATCACCACCTCCAGACGGAACTCAGAAAGAAAAAAAAAAAAAATGTCCAGTTTCCCAAGCTTACTTCCCCATGCATCTTCACTTCCAAACGAGATTGCTTATTGCAAATACACGAGATGCTTACCATAAACCAATTAAAAACAAACAAACCCTCAGAAACCAAAGGTGCACACCAGAAGCCCAGGGACAGGGAGAGCTCTACTTATGCACCCTACCTTCCCTGGGATGAGGAAGCTAATTAAAGTCGTCTGGGCCTCCATACGACATGGGAAGTCAAGTAAACCAACCAGAGCGAGCAAGACCACTGGCTCTGTACCCCCCTCACTACGTGCAGGTGTCCTGGAAAACCCAATTTCTTGGGACAACTGACTCTTTATCAGCTGGGAAGAGTAGTAAAATAATAGCAAGAGGCACTATTCGAAGTATTTTACATCTGATAACTTATTTAATTTTCAAAATGGCTCTATTACTATCCCTGTATCTTAGAGATGAAGGAAGGAAGTATAGAATGATTAAGTGTCTTACCCCACCCAGGGCACTCACCTCTCCTAAAAACTGTTTCCTGGTCTCGTTCTAATGTAAAGTATAGTACACTTCAACCAAAAGCTGACACCGTATCTGACACTGTGCGTGTGTGTGTGTGTGTGTGTGTGTGTGTAAAATCTGAAGACATAATATCTCCCTGAACGTATTCTCCGTTCCTACATATGTCCTTTTGAAAGTCACAACTTTGTTGTGCTCCTTGCTATGAAAAATGTGCCACTGTGACACCTCAGAGGGAATTAACATAAGGAAAGCAACAGCCATTCCTGTCATGCACGAAATGTAGCGAAGACTGCACCAATGTCCACCAACCTTTGGGCTCACCACCACCCTTAGGGCTCAGGTTCGTCCAGAAGATGGAATGATTGATATGGCCTCCACCATTGAACTTCAGCCCAGCCTGAAGAGCTACCTGGGTTGTAATGTCACCTGAAAAGTAAAGATACAAACATATTCTTTACAATTCTTACTTTTCAAACGTTATAAGCACCATTTGCTTTCATTGTAAAACATCAGATAAGTGTACTTGTTTATCTCTAACATACCTATAGGTCCCAAAATTCCACAATTTCAAGATTCTACCAAAAAAAAAAAAAGATTTTGTTAAAAATTATTTGTTCTGGTGGATTTTCAAGTTCAATTAATAATGTGAACAACTAATGAGAGGTCCGGCATTAGGGGCAAAGCTAGTAGAAAATCCTTTCCAGAGCTTCAAAGAACTCCAAGTTTTCTTGGATAGAAGAGATTTCAGAGGTGCCTGGATGGCTCAATCAATTGAGCATCTGAGTCTTGATCCCAGGGTCATGGGATCGAGCCCCGTGTCCCATGCTCAGTGTGGTGCCTGCTTGAGATTCTCTCTCCCTCTCTCTCTCTCTCTCTGCCACTCTCTCACTTACTCCGATTCTCTAAAATTAAAAAAATTATTTAAAAAATAGTTCAGCAGGGGTGCCTGAGTGGCTTAGTCGGTTAAGTGTCTGACTTTCGCTTAGGTCATGATCTCGCGGTTTGTGGGTTTGAGCCCCGCATCGGGCTCTGTGCTGACTGCCAGCTCAGAGCCTGGAGCCTGTTTCAGTCTGTGACTCCCTCTCTCTCTGACCCTCCCTTGCTCACGCTGTCTCTCTCTCTCCTAGAAATAAATAAAAAATATTTTAAAAAATAATAAAAAATAAAACATAGTTCAGCAATAATGAAGAGAACAATAGAAAACAGTAGAATGCTTAAAAGTGTGCTTTCACAGACAGACTAAACAGTAAATTTTCAGGGGCGCCTGGCTGGCTCAGTCGATAGAGACGCAACTCTTGGTCTTGGTTGTGAGTCTGAGCCCCACATTGGAGGGAGAGCTTTCTTAAAATAAACAAGTAAATAGAAGTTTTCTTTTTAATGGTACTTTCTCAGCTCTCATTTTCTAGACAGACAACTATTCACGGGGAAAGAGTTCAATGTTACATTAACAAGAAATTCAGCACATTCAAAGCTGAACTCCAGATTTTCAATCCCAAACTTAACTCTCCAATGGCCTTGCTCATGGCAGCAAGTGCCAGCTGTCTTCACGGGACATTTCTGGTAACTCTCTTACTCCTTTCCTCTCACACACCACGCCCAGCCCACCAACATACTCCCCGACAAGGCCAGCTCTCCCTTTAAAAGAGATCCATGATCTGATCCCCTCTTGCTAACCTGTGGTGCAGACCACCACCCTGCCCCGTCTCCCACGTCCGCATGTGACCCCCACTCTGTTCCCAACACAGTGGCCAGAGGGCTCCTCCACACCCCAAACTGAGTGCAGTATCAAGTCGAACCTGTCCCAAGGCTGCTGCTCTCACTCAGTGAACCCCAAGTCCCTACGACTGGCCTCAGAAGGGCAGGTCATCTGATTCTTTGCATCTCCCTGCTGGCCCGGCTCTGGCCACGCTGGTCTCCCTGCGATTACAACGGGAGCTCCCAGTTTAGGGATGCTGCCGGTCCTGGAACATTCTTCCTGAAGATAGCCTCGTGGCTCACTCCCACATTTCTCCTTCAGGCCTCCACTGAAATGTCATCCTCATCAGGGAAGCCTTCTCAAACCACATATAAAATGGGCACTTCCCCAACCTGTTTTTCTTGATAGGACTTAAGACCCCTGGCATACTACATATTTACTCGTTCATTGGTCTCCCCACCAGAACAAAAGCTCCAATAATAACAAGGACTTCTTTGCACCACTGGGTCCCAGGGGCCAATATACTGCCTCCTACATACCAGGTACTTGGTTTGTTGATTGACTAGATCACTGAATATATTAAATGTAGTTCTTACGGAAGAAAAATTCATTCTCTGCTACCTGTACTTTTTTTTAAAAAAAGTAGTATTTGAAGATTTCTTCTACCTTGTTAAACAAGTAAGCAAAATAAAATATTCTTTTCTAGGCCCTTAAGAAACTAAGACTAAGGAAAAACGGGAATTTCCTTGTTCAAGAAGTCCTGAGTGCTTTTTATTCACAAGATATTAAAAGAGGCCAAGTGGAAGACACACAGAACCTTGGAGAATTCTGTGCTTAGGGAGTTTACATAATAGAAAAGGTTCTCTAATCTGCTCTTTGGGCATACCTCAGAGGAGGAGATGGCCGAGTGATACCAGAATATACAGATAATTTTGGAGAGTTGTTTTAAGATGCCAACTTCTTCTTGTTGTTATGTGTACAAAATAATTTTCTTACAGATCAGTGTCTTAGTAATTATTCTAGAAAAGTCACCCTAAAAATAAATGTAGGTTATACACACACACACACACACACGTAATATATATGTACACACACGTATACATGTGTATATATACTTATATGTAAGCTTTATATACATTTATATACATGCATACATATATACATACATATGCATACATATATACACTTGCGTGTACATATACATATAGTTTTAGTTTTAGAGAAAAGAGTGCAAACGAGGGAGAAGGGCAGGGAGAGAAAGAATCCCAAGCAGGCTCCATGCATGGAGCCTGACACAGGGCTTGATTCCCCAACCCTGGGATCATGACCCAAGCCAAAATCAAGAGTCAGATGCTCAACCAGCTGAGCCACCCAGGATCTCCTATATTGTTTTTTAATAAATCAACAGTAACTAAATTTTTCTAATGGGAAAGAAACGTGCTTATTAAAAACTAACTTAATAATTTCAATCTCTTAAAGCTTACTTAATCATTTTAATAAATTTAATAGAAATTTGGGAGGTGCCTGGCTGGCTCAGTCCGTAGAACATGTGACTCCTGATCTCAGGGCTGTGAGTTGAGCCCCACATTGGGCTTAGAGCTTACATTAAAAAATAATAATGATGATAATAGAAATTTGGGGGGCTTTAATATCTGCTTTTAAAAATACTTTAAAAATGCTCAGTTGGGTAAGTGGCCGACTTCAGCTCAGGTCATGATCTCACAGTTGTTGGTTCAAGTCCGGCATCAGGCTCTGTGCTGACAACTCAAAGCCTGGAGCTTATTTCAGATTCTGTGTCTCCCTCTCTCTGCCCGTCCCCCGCTCATGCTCTGTCTCTCTTGGTCTCTCAAAAAAATGACTAAATGTTAAAAAAAAAAAAATTAAAAAAAAAAGAATACTTTTCTTAAGTTCAACATGTTCCTTGGTTTCAATTCAATTTTTTTCCTGTAAAACACAATAAAAGTTAAATACTTCTGTGTGAAAAATACTTATTTACTTACTTGTAATGAAATCAATGTTATTTCACTTATACTCCTGCCCCAAATTTTCAAACATCAAAATTTAGCCCTTCAATAGTCTTTAAAAAGCTCTGCAGGTACTTAGTAACTTAGAGACAACATAGCACAACATGATGTAAAGCTTTTTTTTTTTTCAGTAGCTTCTGTTATACAAGTAAAGGTGTGATTGCACAAGAAAAGGATTGAGATTCAAAGTTGTTTTTAAAATACTGAAGAGAAAGGTTCAAGTCGTCAGATGTTGTCATGCAGGAAACAATTTCACAACTGGGATATTCCCCACCTTGTCATCATTACCACATCTTTCCCGAATCTGTTATTTTCTAAAACCCCGAACCTTTTCCCGAACAAATCACCAAACTTTTTCCCCACACTCCAGGTTCCCATCAGAAATCTTCCAGAATGTGGCAACTTCCTCTTGTTTTTGTTTAGCCAATTACTTCATCCACAGCCCAGCTGAAATACTACCTTCTCCCACTAGATGCCCCCGTTCAACAAGAGGTCACTGTCTGAAATTTACCCAACACATTTCAGAGGGCTGAACGCCAACAAAAACGTGTTTCAGAAAAAAATACCTTTCAAACTGTGTAGCTCATGAAGCAATACATACAACTATTTTCCTCGTGCAAGCCACTGATCGATGAACTGAGAAGTGCAATACTATGTGGTACAGACACGAAAACACGGTATTCTCGTACACAGCCGCAGCCCCAGACGCAGAGTCCACACGCTACCGGTTTTGTGGACTGAGCTCTTTAAAAAGTAAAGTGTGGCGTCCATTTTATCTCGTTACACTGAATTCTAAAACATCAGTAAATAACCACAAGCCTATTGCAGCTTCCTACTAAAGGGGCACTTTCCTTGTGAAGTCTGAGCCGTGGCGGCTCGAGAGCGCGTGGAGGGGCCCCGCGTCGCCGTCACGTTTCCCCCCCGCGCAGGGTCTCACCCCCGGGCGGCCTAGCACCTACCCTTCTCCAGCGCCTCTCGGTACCGCTCCTCGAGGGTGTTCAGGTTGTTCACGTAGGTCGCGTGGTGCTTGCTGTGGTGCAGCTGCATGATCTGCGCGTTGATGTGAGGCTCCAGGGCGCCATAATCGTACGGCAGGTCGGGGAGGCTGTGCTTCTGCCTGGAACCCAGAGCCCCCAGTGCTGACACCAGCGTCCTGCTCGAGCTGCAAAAAGAGCAAACGCACACACACACACGATTCGCTCGCTCACGGGTCTACGCAGACGGAGCTGTGGACGTCCCGGCGCACCTGGGCCTTTCTATCGCTTGGCCGCTCGCCCGTCACATTCCCTAAAGTATTAAGCGGTGCCGCGGCAGCACCCGGACGCGCTCCGAGGACACCTGCCCTGAAGCAGGGCCGCCCGCCGCGTCCCCGCAGGTGCCCGGGAGCCGCCGCGCCGGCACCGGTAAGGGGGGAGCGGGGCCGGGGGAGGAGGCCGCCCGCGACCCTTCACCCTCGGGGCCGTGACCGTCCCCGCCGCGCCGCGCGGCCCGAGCGCCTCACCTGAGAGCCGCTCGGGACAACATGGTGAGTGCAGCCGCTAGTCCGCCGCCCGGAGGTCCGGTCAACACGCCGACCGCCCGGCGTACACTGACCCGCGTCCCGGGCGGCGCCGCAAGGACACCGCCGTCCTCCGCGGGCTCCGCCCCCCGCGCCCGCCGCTCCCACAGCGGGAGGGGGCGCGCAGCCCGGGGTCTGCACTGCCAGCGCCAGCCCGCGACCTGAGCCCAAGGGACGCGACAAAGAGGGACATGAGAATCCTTCTTCACGAGGCCGGAGGCACCGCAGTGCCCACCTGCTCGCTTTTGTTCGTGTGGCCAAAAGAAAGGCCGTGCTTCTCCCCCCTCCACGGTGTAAGATGGTACGTCCCGCAGCCCCGCCCCTCGCGGCCCGCGGGGAGGGCCTTGCTGGCCGGGTGGGTGCTTCCTCGCTGCCCTGCGGCTGGCTGCTCGCCGGGGCCGACGCCGGGGCCGGCGACCTCCTGGGAGCGAGAGCTGCGGTTTCCCCGAGCCGGCTTGGCGCGCCCTCGCGGGCCGGGATCCCTCAGGGAAGAGGGTCCTGGGTGCTGTCGGGTAAAGCCGCAGTGCTCCTTTAACCACTGCCACGAGTGACCTTGCTTTTCTAATGAACTTGACCTTTGGGCCGGAGCCAAGCCCAGGGCAGCCTGATAATAGTGTTATTAAACACGGTATGCCAGGGACTACGCAGCAGGGTTTATATGCATTGATCTTTATTTCACCCCCGGGTAGATATTGTTGACCCCAGGCGACAGTTAATGAGCCCCTAAATTTAAGCAGGTTGCCCTGATCACACAGTTAATAAGTAAGAGAGCGGATTAGAACCGAAAGTTCATACTTTTTGATTACTAAACCTTAGCGGTCAGAGAGTAGGTGCTGCATAGATTTTCAGCTACTCTCTTTCACCTCCACGCCCACCCATTCACCCCTCCTCAAGGATGACTAGCATTTGGGTTGCGGAATAGTAAACGGGAATCACTGAGCTGACTTCTCCACAAGAGGGCTGGGGCTTGCTGACGGGAAACCCAGACTACATGCCTGGGTAAAGGAGGAAAATCAGGTTGGGGGCAGGTTGTGCGTGTCCTTAAAATCCCGACATATGGTTGGTTATAGAAAATCAAAAAGCATTTTGGCTGAAGTGAGACATATTGAAAGCAGTTTTTCAGTCAAGGTAGTCTGACATAAGGGGCAAGCTAGTTAGAACGCTATTGCTTGAGGGGCTCTGGGGTGTTTTGGTCAGTTAAGCATCCGACTCTTGATTTTGGCTCAAGTCATGATCTCCTGGTTGGTAGGATGGGTTCTTTGCTGACCGTGCGGAGCTTGCTTGGGATTCCGTCCACCCCACCCCTGCTTGTGAGCTTTCTCTCTCTCACTCTCTCCGAATAAACATTTGAAAGGAAGGAGGGAGGAAGGAAGGAAGGAAGAAAGGAAGGAAGGGAGGGAGGGAGGGAGGGAGGAAGGGAGGAAGCTATTGCATAAATCCTAGCTGAGGTCCTAACTTCCAGTTTTCAGGTACCTGCTATGGAACTGCAATAAAGGGACATTTTGAAGGATGAAATAACAGACTTCAGTGATAGGTCATTCGCTAATAAGGAGGGTTTATTCTAGCGAGAATAAAATATCTCTATAACGAGACTGAGCCCAGTCAAGCTGCATAGATGTTCTTCTTGTTTGTTCAGATGATGACACTTTGATACTTAAATTGACCCCTTCAGGAGATGCCCTTTTGAACAAGCAACATTTGGGGGATAAAGTAATGACAATAACAGTCCCGTAGAAGTGTCTCTAACATCATATCTGTATCAGCTCCATCCTTAGTTGGCTACTGTATGAAGTATTGAATGAGTATTAGCACAAGGAGTTAGATTACAGTTGACTGGGTTCTGTCCCCAATTCCTCCAGCCAGCTAAGGACGTCAGCTGCCACATCTGGCATCATAATTATGCATTTCCTTTGAATAAACTTCACAAGTCTACTTCATAGCCATCCTCAGACCAATCACAGTTTAAATTGACATATTGGCTGGAAGAGGCAAAATATGGGTTGAGATGACATCATTTTAAGCCAGTTATTATTTGCATTCATATTCTAGTGACTGAGTGTCTCAAAAACAGAATAGCGTATTTATTCCCTCATGTAAAAGTGATCTGGAGTAGGTAGATCCAGGGTAGGGATGACAGTGCCATGAAGTTATCAAGGACCCAAGCTCCTCTGTCCTCAGAGTTGCTTCATGATCCATGACAGCCTCCACAGCACCAACCATCTCACCTCCTTCCCACGAAGAGGAAAGGACAAAAGGTTGGGCCCCTGCTCTCTCCCTTTTAAGAATCCTTTGTGGTAGATTCACCCAACAAATTCCACTCAGTTTAGGTACAAAGCTACAACTTAGCTACCGAGGAGGCTGGGAAATGTAGTCATTTAGCTGTGCACATTTCCAATATGAAAAGTGTGAAATTCTAGAACTAAAGGGAAAATGAGTAGTGGATTGGCAGTCACCTCTGTCACATATCTTTATACAAGTCATTATTTCCACGTGCTTGGATATGAACCCTGGCTGTTCATGGAATGACCTGAGCCACATTCTTTTTTTTTTTTTTTTCCTCTCTTTTTCTTTATACCCTTCATATCCTACCCAGGCAGGAAACTAAGTGAGAATTCCTGTACAACCTTTCCCTTCACATAGCTGGGATTGCTAATAGGGACAAAGATCGTGCTTAAATTGCTAAAATGAAATCAGTGATCCAGGCCAAAAGAGAAAGTGATGGTAGAGATATATACAATCAGTGAGCTTCCCCCATCCCCATATCTTCAGGCTAATTATAATTAGATTGCACACCTGAAGAACACATTAACTACTGGAAAAGCAGAAGGGGAGCCTGCTTCAGAATGAAAGTGTTTTATTGAACAAGGCATGTAGTGGGTTGATTGTATCCATAAAGGGAGAAGGGAACCAATATTATCGCGCAGACCTCCTCATGGCCTACGTACTAGGTCAAAGGCTCTATATCACCTCTTAATTTACACATCTCTGTGCAGTGGCTTATCATTCCTCTTTTGCATGAAGATCATAAGTGATGTGTCCAAGTCACACACACAGCAACTAGGTAGTAGGGCTGAGATTTGAATGGACTCTGTTGCTCTCTTCTGTTAACCCTGACATGTTCTGTGCACTTAAATAACTGCCACACCCTCTCCCACATTCAGGTCATAATTCTTGGACCTGAAGCTTGACACATAATATTTACCATCACACCAGGCAAAAACAAACAAACAAACAAACATAGCCAATCCATTCTATGTAAGGAGTGAGTTGGTCTGTCAATTATCATACGACAAAGATCCAATTAATATCCCAGGATTATCATGAAGTAAAATTGAATTCAGGGATACAGTTCTAAGAATAATTCTTGAGAGCAACCCAGGATGAATTGACTCACATCACTGAGGACAATGACCAAGAAGCATAAGGATCTGAGACTGGCTACATGTCCTGGCCAGCATGTGCCAGGGGCGGCACCCCGCAGCAGGGAGCCAGAGTAGGTGAGCAGGAGGCTTGGCCTCGTACACAGAAGTTCACGCCAGAACCTCTGGACAGGTTTACGTCCACTGGCAATAGTATGAACTAGAAATGTCCTATAACACTATCCATCCTGGCCAACGTTCTCCCCCTGCCCCCCACTCTGGGGCTGACTTACATCTTCACTGGCTCTTTTGTGGGGAAATAGCATAAAACTGTGGAAAACAAGACTACAAGTGTTTTCACCCTAAGAATATTAATTTAGTCTAAGGAACTACTCAGCTATACACTGGTATAAGATATTCTGGGTGGTTATGAAAGAAGGCTGATGGATTACTCCTGTATGGAGTTGGAAGAGTATCTTCTCAGTGATATAGAAACCAGAAGCTCTCTTAATCTCAACACTAACTCTGAACATTCAACTCTCCCCTGAGAAGACATCTTAGTTTCGTCCCAGAAGAGTTTAGTACTTAATCCGGTTGTTAGGGACTGTATTGTGTCCCTCCAAACTCATATGTTGAAGGCATAACCCCCCAGTTCCTCATAATGTGACTGTATTTGGAGATAGGACCTTTATTTTTTATTAAGATTTATTTATTTTTCAGAGAGACAGAGCGTGAGTGGGGGAGGGACAGAGAGAGAGGAAGACACAGAATCCAAAGCAGCCACCCAGGTGCCTGGAGACAGGGCCTTTAATGAGGTGTTCAAATTAAAATGAGAGTATTAGAGACACCCAGGTGGTTCAGTCTGTTGGGCACCAGACTTCGCTTAGGTCATGATCTCATGGTTTGTGAGTTCAAGCCCTGCTCTCTGCTGTCAGCTCAGAGCCCATTTAGGGTCCTCTGTCCCCCCCTCTCTCTGTACTTCCCCTGCTTGCACTCTCTTTCTCAAAAATAAATATAAATAAATAAATAAAATGAGAGCATGAGGGTGGGCCCTGAACCAGTGTGACAGGTGTCCTTATTAAGGAGATAAAGACCATCACACACAGGCTGAGAGGCAACCATCGGCAAGCCAAGGAGAGAGACCTAAGGAGAAATCAATCCTGCTGACAGCTTGATCTCAGACTCCCAGCTTCCAGTACTGTGGGAAAATAGATTTCTGTCTGTTAAAGCCAGCCAGGTATTTGGCTTTACCAGTCCAAGCAAACTATTAGGGCAGCTCACCACTTTCTATAATCCAATCTGGTTATCAGGCTGTCAGCCACTGTTGAGTTTTAACCGCAATCACAAGGTCTCATTCCTACCTGGGATTCCTCCCATCGCACTCCCCTCCCCTTTCCCCTACTCCTTCGGAAGGCTTGCTGGCACTTACCTGCAGGGATGGAAAGGGGGGTCTACCCGCAGGGGGGATGGCCTTTCTCAGCCGGCTCCTGCATCCATGTCAACTGGCCCCAGGTCCCAATCCCAGCCACACTCTGAGGTTGAGACTGGTGTGGTTCAACTTCATTTGAATAGCCCCACACGTCTACAAGTGTTTTTCTACAAATGATGCGCCTGGCTCAGCCTCACCCCAGCTGGTTCTCTGTCATGTAGACCCCCTGCCCCTGCCTAGGTGTGGCCCTGTCTCTGTTTGGCCCCCCTCCCCCT